GCTCAGCTGTGCGGCTGCCCCTTTAAAATGCCAAAGCGTCCTAGAGCCTGAGGTTAGCTGGGGATTCCCCAGCTAACAACAGGTTCTGCACGGCATTTCCCCAGAACGCAGGGACTCCCCAGCTGACCCCAGGTTCTGGGAAATGCTGCACAGAACCCAGGGTCAGTTGGGGAGTCCCTAACTGACCCCAGCTCCACGGCGCTGCCCCTTTGAAATGCTGAGGCGGCGTTTCAAAGGAGCAGCTGCTGCATAGCTGATCCCTGGCTCATGGAGTCCCCTGCTGACCCTGGGCTCCATGGCTTTGAAATGCACAAGAGCCCCCGCTGGGAACTCTTGTACAATTCAAAGCAGGCATGCCCGTGTGCAGCCCAGAGTCAGTGGGACTTCCCGCTGGCCCCGGGCTGCATGCAGAGTTCCACATGCCCAGGGCTGGCCAACGACATTTTGGCACCTGAGGCGGGGAGCTCAAATGGCGCCCCCATGCCCCCTTGCTTGGGCCAAAACTTTGAAAGGTCACAATTCTGCCTTCTTCCTGTTCGACTCCTCTCATAGTGCTGCTCTGCTACCTACATATGCACCAGCAGCAGACACAATTTTCTACAGTCTGGGTCCTAGTGGTGCCCCCCCACAGTCTGGCACCTGAGGCGGCTGCCTCAGTTTGCCTCATGGTAGGGCCAGCCCTGCACATGCCTCCTTTGAAATGTACAAGAGCCCCAGTAGGGGCTCTTGTACATTTCAAAGGTGACATGTGGAAGTGCCTATCGACTAGTCGAGTAGTTGATGGAAATTCCATCGACTACTCGACTAGTCAATTAACCACAGTTTAACATCCTTACTCTGAAACCCTTCTGTCCTTGGGAGGCTCTTATGAGAGAACATAAGAATGGTCATAGTGGGTCATACCAAAAGTCCATCTAGCCAAGAATCCTGTCCTCTAACAATGGCCAAAACCAGATACCTCAGAAGGAATGAACAGAATAAGTAATCAAGTGGTCGCCCATTCCCAACTTCTGGCATGCAGAGACTAGGGACACCATCCCATCCCATCCCATCCCATCCCATCACGGCTTATTAAAAGTCTTCTTTCTTTGTTAACTTGAAGGAGGGCAGCCTATACAGAGGATGCCTTCTGCGCCAGCAGCTGCCACTCTCTATCAGCCTCTGTGGAGTGGCAATGTAATCTTGTGCTTAAGGTGTTAGACGGGGAACAAGGACAGCTGTTTTCAGCTGTCACAGACTCTTTGTGACCTTGCATAAGTTGTTTCACCTCTTGATACCTCAGCTTTCTTAGGGTATTTTATGATGATTTATGATCATCACTAAGACAAAAAGGGTTTACCTGACAGTTAGTGCTTCTCTGCGGCAGTAGCCAAGATGTCGTGGGGTGAAGAGTTTGAGAATGAGGATTCTTTAACAAAACAAAGCAAAACAATAAGGCTACGTCTACACTGGCATGATTTTCCGGAAATGCTTTTAACGGAAAAGTTTTCCGTTAAAAGCATTTTCAGAAAAGCACGTCTAGATTGGCAGGACGCTTTTCCGGAAAAGCAGTTTTGGTGGAAAAGCGTCCATGGCCAATGTAGACGCGCTTTTCCGCAAAAAAGCCCCGATCATCATTTTCGTGATCGGGGCTTTTTTGCGGAAAACACTACTGTGCTGTCTACACTGGCCCTATTCCGGAACAGTTTTCCGGAAAAAGACTTTTGCCCGAACGGGAGCAGCATAGTTTTTCCAGAAAAGCACTGATGATTTTACATTAGCTCGTCAGTGCTTTTCTGGAAATTCAAGTGGCCAGTGTAGACAGCTGGCAAGTTTTTCCGGAAAAGCGGCTGATTTTCTGGAATAACTTGCCAATGTAGACACAGCCTAAGGGTTTCCCCTATGATCAGTTATGGAGCTTGAGGGACCTGCGTGTCTACACAGCAAAGTTATCTCGGAATAATGTCTGTTACAGTAATTCTTCATTTAACACTATAGATATGTTTCAGAAAATGATCGTGTTAAGTGAAAATGTGTTATGCAGGGTCAGTTTTCCCATTGAAAATAATGGAAAAGGTGGGGGTTGCGTTTCAAGCAGTGGTGTCTGTTGGGCCCGGGACATAAGGTTGGGGGAGAAAGGAGACTGGAAAGTTTCAGACAACCTTATTACCACATATTATCTTAATTTCTTGCAGAGGAATAGGGAACTTTTCACATATTTTTAATCTTGTTGGCAGTATGACCTTGTGGCGGGTCTGCAAGGACCCGCACTGTGTCCGGTGAAGGGGGGTCGCCGGGGAACGGCGCGGCGAGTGGGCGAGCCCTCTGCCGCTTTGCAGGCAGGTGAGGGAAGCCCTGTGCAGCTGCCAGCTACAGACCAGCTGGGGGCGTCCGGCTAGGGGGAGTCAGTGGGGAATGGCGTGGCAAGAGGTGAACACTCCGCCGCTTTGCAGGGAGGCGGGGGAAGCCCCACACAGCCGCTGGCAACGGGCCAGCTTGGGATATCGTGTTATTCTGGGGACAGTCGTGTAATTCAAAAAACGTTCTCTAAAAAAAAAATCGTGCTATTGAGAAAATGTGTTAAGCGGGCACGTGTTAAATGAGGAATTACTGTATTCTGAAATAACTATGTAAGCATCTACACAGCAATTCTGTTATTTCAAAATTATTTCAAACTAATGGATGGCTTATTCCAACTTCTGTAAACCACATTCTACAAAGAATAATGCCTATTCCGAAATAGCTATATCGAAAAAAACCACTTCTGCTATTTCGAAATAGCCCCTCACCAGGGCCATGCTAAGTTATCCCTCCCCAGTGCCTCCTGGGGCTCTAAATCAAGATAGCACATCTACATTAGGGAAGCCTGCCTCGGACTAATTTTGAGGCTTCTCTGCAATGTAGACATGCTATTTCAAAATAAGTTATTTTGGAATAGCTTATTCGGAAATAACTGTGTAGTGGAGTCGTAGACTATATGGCTACGTCTACACTGGCATGATTTTCCGAAAATGCTTTTAATGGAAAACTTTTCTGTTAAAAGCATTTTCGGAAAAGCGCGTCTAGCTTGGCAGGATGCTTTTCCGCAAAAGCACTTTTTGCAGAAAAGCGTCCGTGGCCAATCTAGACGCGCTTTTCCGCAAAAAAGCCCCAATCGCCATTTTCGCGATTGGGGCTTTTTTGTGGAAAACAGTACTGTGCTGTCTACACTGGCCCTTTTGCGCAAAAGTCTTTCGGAAAAAGACTTTTGCCCGAACATGAGCAGCATAGTATTTCCGGAAAAGCACTGATGATCTTACATGAGATCATCAGTGCTTTTCCGGAAATTCAAGTGGCCAGTGTAGACAGTTGGCAAGTTTTTCCGGAAAAGCTGCTGATTTTCCGGAAAAACTTGCCAGTCTAGACACAGCCTATGTGTATATAGATGGACCAAAAGGAAGGTAATTGTTCCTAATGTACTGGAGTTGACCCAGTCTTCTTATGTGTCTGTACTTTATAAATAACTTTTATAGATGAAAAATATATTTAAATATCTGATGGTTAGTCCTTTGGAACTCCAGGTACATGGTATTAACACAGGGGTAAGCTGCAGGATTAAGGAAAGGGGAGCTCTTTTTTTCTTTTTCCTGTTTGCAGATCAAATCCAGCTCTTAGTTGCATGAGTTTCATTGTTGCTACACCTGAAGACCAAGATGAACAAGAAAGAAAGAAAGAAAGAAAGAAAGAAAGTCTAAGGTGAAGAATGAGATGTCCAGGGCTGAGAATCAGAAAATAAGATAGTACATTGTGGGAGAGGTTGGGGGATAAGGGTGTTTGTTATCTTGTTTTCTGAAGGAGGGTTGAGGGGGAGATTGTAGCGTTTTGACCGATACTGCATTGCACTGATGAAGATCACTTGTCTGCTTTTATTTAAGTTATACAGAACGCAGTGTATGGGAGTATTTTCACATTTAGCTTTTGTACAGTCAAGTTGAGTGTTTCCCCCATATATGGGAACAGATTGAAACTCAGCCTAAATGTAGGTCTTTAATGGCCACAGCTTTATATTTACAGTGACGAACACCAGGGAATGAATAAATCCAAGGTCTGGAGATATGCCCAAATAAATGCGTTTTGATGAACTGTTCTGTGATAGGGCAGAGACCCTATACTGGCCATGAGATGGTTAAGGAGAGCCTCAGGGAGTTAAAAGGAAAAAACTCACAGATAGCCTGCACTGCAAAATTAAGTCCGCTCATGATAAATAGACATGCAACCACCACAGTAATTAAAGCAGTGGTTTGCGGCCACACCTGCTCCGACTGTTGGGGGTGTGCAATCTCCCCAGGAATCCTTCCATCAACTGAAGTGGAGTGTTGTGTCTATACAGTCACTGTGTTGCCCTATGTCAGCGTATGCATTACACCTCTTATGGAGGTGGAGTTATTATGTCAGTGCAGGTTGGAGGCCTTACTTCAGCAGAAGCAGCATTCTAGCATAGACATTGACCTAGTTCGGTCAACAGCGGTGATGCGTAGTGAGGAGCCATGAAGGGTCAACTGCTGGGGGGCAGGGAGAGGTAAAAGGCCAGCAGCCAGTGGGTAAAGCCACCCCATCCTACCCCTCTGATATGAGAATATGAAGGAAAACTCCAAAAAGGGGAACCTGATAGAATATTCTTCCCCCACTCTTTGGCTCTTCATTGGTCTTTCCACAGTCAGAGGATTCAAATACTTGGTTGTCTAGCAGTCCTTACTGGGATAAACTCCCACTAGATTGAATGAATTTGTCTGCATAAGGACCTTTCAGTATTTGCCTCTCTATGAGGAAAAAAATATATAATTGTTTTAAATTAGCAATGTTGGATCATTTACACTGGAAATAACTTGTTGAAGACTAAAGGTCAACACATGCAGCATCAATGCAATATGATTCTTTTTAAAGTATAAAAGAAATAGATTTCTCCCGAGGACTGAGATTGTGCTGCTGAGGGGGAGTGGGAGGAGGAAAGAGGGACAGAGTTCTATGCTTCTGGAATTCTGCATTCTGTCTGTTGGAAGTGATTGTTTCACTGTATCAGGTTAATTTTGGTCATAGTTAAATGTTGCTAGAAGCCACAGCAGACTAAACAACATATTGATTGATTTTTTTCTGACTATAAGTTCAATGCACAAGGCTTGAGCTCCATTAAATCCTCCAGCAATACAGAAGCTCTCTTTTGACATTCTCTGAAGTCTCTGACAGAGGCTGAGACGTTTTATTAGATATCATAATGTTATTACTTGACACATTTTAGGTAAGAAAGCTATGTTTTAATTATTGGTATTTCTTTTATCCAGTTAATTAATAACTAGTTGAAATGATATTGTTTACCTCTAGAAGGCTCTCTTCCTATATAACATGTCTCATACATCAATGTTATTCCAAGTGTTTTTAGTATAATAGGAGCCTAACTTATACTCACAGCATATTTTAAATTAAAGTGTCAGCATACAAAAACATAGTAAAAGAGTTTCTTTGTCAATGTACTGTCTAATATTCAATAAATAAGTTAAAATTTATAAATAATCCTGTCACATATTTTCAGGCTGTTTCACTGTAAAAGCAGCAAAAACACTTCTCTGCCGTCAGTGCAAGACGTGATTTCAGGGAAATATTGCCAGCTTTAATTCTTTTTCTATAAACATTTTGGCAAGTGCTGTCAATTTTTCTGTGTGCTTTTACGTAAAATATTTATTTTAATAAACCATGACCACAATTCTCATTATGTGCCACTTATTCACTGATTGTATGTGATATTTATATATCCGAGTAACCGAGCAAAGGACAGGTATCTATCTGAGATTATGGTGTTTTCTCTTTAGTATAATAACCCAGAATTGTGAATTCATAATTGTGTGTTCAAAAACTCTGATTTTTTAAAAAATGTTAACATATTTCAGAATTCAAGCTACTGAATTTTTTTGTGGTCCCAGAGTGTTATAGCTAAACCTGTGAGTCAGTCATTGGGGACCTGATTTTCTGATACACTTGAAAAATTGCGGCTCCCTTTGACTTCAACTCCTGTTTTGGTGCTCAATAGTTCTGGAAACCAGGACTTGAAAATGTCTTCATCTATTTACTCATACAGAAGGAAAATTTGGTAGACTTCACAAGGCTATATCTACACTGGACAGTTATTTTGGAATAAACTATTCTGGAATAATTATTCTGAAATAGCATGTCTACACTGCAGGGAAGCCTCAAAATTAGTCCAAGGCAGGCTTCCCTAAGGTAGACGTGCTATCTCTATTTACAACCCCAGGAGAAATAACTTAGAATGGCCCGGGTGAGGGGCAATTTCGAAATAGCAAAAGGGGAGCATCTTTACACGCCTTATTTCAAAATAGCTATTTCAGAATAGGCGTTATTCTTTGTAGAATGATGTTTATAGAAGTCGGAAAAAGCCATCCATTATTTCAAAATTATTTCAAAATAAAGGAATTGCTGAGTAGATGCTCACATAGGTATTTTGGAATAACAGCCGTTATTCTGAAATAACTTTGCTGTGTAGACACACCCCAAGAGCACACAAGCCAAGCCACAGCGATCCTGCTCTGGCTGAACTATATGCAGGATGACAGACTACAAAGAGGCCATCAAAAGAGTTCCCCGGCCCTTTGAATGCAATGAAGCAATGTACCAGAGTAACTGTCTTCACAGAGATGGTTCCTAGAGATGAGGGAATGGCATGGGTGAAATCACCCCACCAAATCTCTGTATAGGTCACTTGTGCAAATTCTTGTGTAAAGCCTAAACAAATAGGATTTACATGTGTGATGCGGCTTTTACCATAAATGACAATGGTTCAAATGAGAAAGGTAGTTTCTTTTACTGGACCAACTTATTTTGGTGTATGAGACAAATTTTGGAGCCACACAGAACTCTTCTTCAGATCACATGACTTTTAGAAAATAATAGGTTTGGTAACTGAAGAGAAGGAAGCTATCCATTGTATTCCAGGTTTCTTCAGGGTGAAGCTGCTGCTGCTAAGTATCATTCAAAAAAATTGGACAGGTAATTTTCAGCTATCAGCCTAATGGGATAATGACAGATACTTCTAAAAACTGTTCTGAAAAATCCATTAAACACATTCACTGAGTAATAATGTTTTCTTAGCTAGTAAGAGAACTATAACTAAACAAAGGAACTATATAACTAATTGCTGCAGTTTCCTTTAAATCCAGTATACTATGTTTGATCTTTATTTATTCCAGATAAAAGCCTTCTGATTTTGTGGCTTTTAACCTTCTTTGAAGCTCTTCTGATTTCCCTGTTATATATCTTTGTAGGCATAAGTAATGTCTAAAAAAATGCTAAGAAGTTACATTCCCCAGTATACAATGTATGTAGATTTGAGATGTTTTCCAATACTTATTTAGATTAGCTAATTATTAAGAGAATATGTTCTGCAATGTAATAATCTCAATAAGGTCCCAGTTCTGAGAAGAGCTAAGCACCTCACCCTTCCATTAACTTCATTGGAAATTGAGGATGCTTATACCATGGTTTGGTCCTATTAAAGTAATTTTTATTTTTAATTAAAAAAAATACCTACAAAACATCACTGCATTCGTGTTGTACCTAAGATAATAAAATCCCAGGCAGTTAATGAAAGAGTGATGCTTTTTATGAGCTAGGTTACAATGTTTTGAATTTGAGAATATCAGTGTTAGCTTACAACTGTGACAATATCTTATGTTTATCTTTCATGGCTTTTAGTGCTAAGATGGCCAAGTAACCATGGGAGACTGGAATTTTCTTGGTGGCATCTTGGAGGAGGTCCATATTCATTCCACTATTATTGGGAAGGTCTGGTTAACTATCCTATTCATATTTCGAATGCTTGTCCTAGGAGTGGCAGCTGAAGATGTCTGGAATGATGAGCAATCAGAATTCATATGCAATACAGAGCAACCTGGCTGCAGAAATGTTTGCTATGACCAGGCCTTTCCTATCTCTCTCATAAGATATTGGGTCTTGCAAGTTATATTTGTATCTTCACCTTCCTTAGTCTATATGGGTCATGCTTTATACAGACTCAGAGCCTTAGAAAAAGAGAGACAAAAGAAGAAGGCACAAGTAAGAATGGAACTTGAAGGAGTTGAACTAGAAATGATTGAAGATCGGAGAAGATTGGAACGAGAACTCCGGCAACTGGAGCAAAGAAAACTCAACAAGGCACCCCTGAGAGGCTCCTTGCTCTGCACTTATGTGATACATATTTTTACTAGATCTGCAGTTGAAATTGCGTTTATGATTGGCCAATATCTTCTTTATGGTTTTCAGCTCGATCCTCTTTATAAATGTGAGAGAGAGCCATGTCCAAACATAGTTGACTGTTTTATATCAAGGCCAACTGAAAAAACAGTGTTCATATTATTTATGCAGTCAATAGCAATTGTATCCTTGTTTTTAAACATCTTAGAAATTGTTCATTTAGGGGTCAAAAAAATCAAAAAGGGACTTTGTGGGCCAGATAAAAGCAGGGATGACTTTGATGATTTCTATGTTAGTAAATCCAAGAAAAACTCTGTAATACCCCACTCTTATATGGGAACATGTGCAACGCCACAAAAAATTCATCCCTCTGCCCCTATTAGTTATACCATGTTAATGGAAAAACAAATTGGGACCGCAGTCCGTGATGTTCTACATTCATCTTCTGCATTCCAATCTCTTAAAAACAACCATACTGAAAATAGCAACAATCGCATCCATGATGAACGGGAAAGTAAATTGCCAGATGAAATGCCAACTAATACATTGGACTGTCCTCCTCGAAATACCTGCTCAAATAATAATGATGGCTTAAACAAGGTATTTGGGACAGAAATTAATGGTTGTCAACAACATGATGAAAAGAAACATGGCATGCATTCTAATCTAGTTGCTGCTCCGGGTCTGTGCTTGGGAAGCCTGTCTGAATTAACATCTGGAAGTTCATTGCAACCTGATATGACTTCCACTATTTCAGTTAACTGTGTTCGAAAGCTACGTGGAGTCAGTTCCCCATGGAACTGTTCTACAGTGGTTGAGAGTGAAGGGTCACCAACAGAGTCTCCTTCCACAAACAGCAACCGAGGACAAGACAGCTTCAGTGGAAGCATAGCACAAGGCCTTTCCAGCACTGACTTAAGAAAAATCAGCAGACCAGACACTCCTGACTCCCTAGGCGAACTAAGTTCAGAATCCAAACAGGGCAGAAATTGTGAAAGTCCTCAGGCTCTCTCTCCCTCACGGCGAATGTCACTGGCAAGTAATGCCAGCAGCAGGCGTGCCCCCACCGATCTTCAGATCTAAGTGTTTGTTACCTTACCTGTGTGCTACATGCATGAGCACTGAAGGAAATAGAGGCATTACTGGACACCCCTGTAGCGTGAGTTGTAGCTTTTTGTCATTGTAGCTAAGTCAATCATTTTTCTCCAGCTCTTTTGGAGTATGTCTCCACAGCAGTGTTATTTGGGAATAATTGACGTTATTCCAAAATAACATAGTGCTCATCTTCACTACAAGCCTTTATTTCGAAATAATGTTGAGCTGGAGGACTTCTTACTCTGACTCCTGGTAACCCTCATTTCAGAGGAGTAAGGGAAGTCGAAGGAAAAGTGTTCCTCCTTCGACTTCCTGCTGCGTACACAGCGCCAAAAGCTAAATTAAGCTATTTTGACTTAAGCTACAGAATTGACGTAGCTGAGGTTCTGTAGCTTAATTCGACTTTTGCCCTGCTGTGTAGACGTACTCCTACTGAGGTAATGCAAAGAACTGTGCGCTCTTGTGCAGTAGTTGATAAACACTCGTGAAATAAGAAATTGGTTCTACTTTCGCGTAATAAAAAGATGACTTAAAATCGAATAGATCTAATATCTCCATTATCTTTCCTGTTCCTAAATCAAACAGTCACTTTTAATTTAACCCAGTAATTCCTGTATCAAGTCCATGTAAGGCAAGCCTCAGATCAATGGATCACTGCAATCTAAACAGACTTTTTTTTTTGAGGGAGTGAGAGTTATGTATGTGTGTGGAGACCTTGTGCCTCTTCATTACCTTTTTTTCATCCTCACTTCCACATAGCTCCATGACAGAGGAACTGTGCTGACTGGGCCTCGCTTGCTGCATTTGCCCCTGAATAGCACTGTAGTGGGGTTTCACATAGTTTTATATGATATATGTGTTTTATTTTAGGGAGGAAATACTGAAAAGAATGGACAATTACTACCCCCTTTCTAGATCGGTGCAGTCCAAATTCCATGAAGAACCTGTGAAATACAAAAGTGTTTATGTGAGGCTGGGGAGAAGTGAGGACTATGCCACGTAGCCTGTAGGCTCCCAGGAGTAGCCTGAGCTGCTTAGCTGGCAAGGGTGGAAATATTTTCAGCCCTCTCTCTGACTAAACAGCAGAGCACAAAAAACAAACTCCCCTCTCCCCAAAACCAGAAAAGCTAAGTGATGACACAGCCTGCAGGAAAATTGGTGCCCAGAGTGATTGCTTTGCTCACCCACTCTTAGAACTGACAATACATGCTTTCTTCAGTGCCTCCCTGAATCAAATTCCCATGTTTGAGCAGCATTTGCATCACTGATAGTGCCACATAAAGGTTAAAACAATAACAAAAAACAAAAGGTAGGAAATGGAACAGTCATTTATCTTTTAGCATTAATCATGTTGTACATGCTGAAGTTTTAACCATTCTTGACTACCTTGTTAAATCTTAGTTTTTTTTCTTTGGTACCTATCACTTTAGCATCTGAGGTAAATACATATTTGTATATTATTGTGTTGATATTGCTAAATGACTACCTTATTAAAGACAAAAAGGGCAATATGTTTGAGTTAACAGTCATGTAGTAATCTTAACTTTTTCATTTTCTGATTTAAAATTTTAATTGGGTATACTTAAATTTGCAATAATGTGTTTTTAAAGAAAAAAATAACTATGCTTAGTGCACTCCTTTTTGCGCTGTATAAATAATACATTAGTAGCCATAATGTTACTTTTTAAATAGTCCCAATTGGGGTTTGAAGCTCTCATCTCAATTCACTGAATTGTGCAGAAGTCTGTCAAAGAGTTTACAGCCTGCTGCTTCTTTCGGGAGAATGTATGACTCACATAGTAATGACTGCACACAGTATCTTTGAAAAGGAAAAACAAACATGAAATTTAGCTAAAATTAAAACTTAAGAATTTGCACAATATGGCAGAAGGCAACAGAATCTTTTGTAAGACACAACTATACAAACAATGGGTTTGTTATTTTTACATCCCTGCTAATGATTCCTAGATCTTATAGGCTGCATCTACATTGCAACGCTATTTCAGGATACTGGAGTATTCCGAAATAACTATCCCGCATCTTCACAGCAAGCCCATTATTTTGGGCTCGCTATTCTGAAGTCCCTGTAAAACTCATTCCACGAGGAGTAATGGACATTTCGGAATAGCGGATTATTTTGAAATTTGGTGCTATGCAGACAGTGCTAAATTACGAAATAAGCTATTTCAAAATAAGATTGAAATAAGAGACGCAATTTGCGTAGCTCAAATTGAACATCTTTTTTCTAACTATGGTGCAGTGTAGATGTAGTCATATAGTGCTTTTCATCAGTATGCCATGAAGCACTTTACCAAGGAGATAAGTATAATTATCCCATTTTACAAATGGAAACATGGAAGGTAAGGCACTATTTTTTGAAAGGTATTTGAGTGTGCATAATTCTTTGGTCCCCTTGCATGATGCTCTCAGCTGAAACTTATTCCCCATAGTGGTGGAAATATTTCAGTCATATTATTCTGCAAACCTGGTTATGATATCAAAGTGAACATTATTTACATGCCAGGTGTCAAAATTCATCTACTTTTGTGTTTGTGAGGGAATGATTTCTTTTATAGAGGATGAGGGAATAATTTCTTTTATAGAGGAGGAAAGCATTCCATTTAAGTCTTGTAATACAAAATAATTAAGTTGAACTTTTTTTTTTCACCCTATGTGAAACCATATGTGAGACCTGATCCAAAGCATATTGAAATCAATGAAAGCTTTTCCATTGCCCTCAATGGGCTTTTGATCAGGCCTTTAAGATTATAGAAACGTATGTTTGGAAGGAATGGAGAACAGTTATCTAGTTCAGATGCGAGGATTGCCAACTTTCTAACTGCACAAACCAAATGCCCTTGCCCTACCCCTCCGCTTCTCTGAGGTCCCATTCCCAGCCTCTGTTGGTGGCACTCCTGCACCCTCACTCACTTTAACTGGGATGGGCAGGGATTGAGGGTGCAAGAGGGAGTGTGGGGTACAGGCACTAGGAGGGAGATTGGGTGTGGGAATGGGCTCAGGACTGGGGGTAGGGGGTTGGGTTGTGGACTTCATGAGCAGGCTTGGAGCTGGGATAGGAGTTTGAGCTGTGGGAGAGTTAGAGAGCAGCAGGTTCAGGGTGAAGGCTCCAGTGCTTACCTCCCACAGCTCCTGTTCTGTGGTGCAGTGGGGCTAAGGCAGGCTCCCAAAAGCAGTTAATGGATGGGTGCTTCTCAACTTTGAAAAGTTTATGTTTTGGTTATTTATATTTTTAACTTAAATATTTATAACCAAAATATAACTTTCTATAAAAATAGCTGCAGAAGGGGCATTGGGGCTTGGAGTTGAGGAAGAGAAAGGCATTTGACTATACAGAATTTTCTGAAAACTTTCCTCTCAAAAGGAAGGAGCTTGGGGGCTTATGGTGACTGAGGTATGGAGGCAGGATGAGGACCCCAAGTTCTGGAGAGTGTTAGAGCCACTTTGCTGCTATTTTGAACATACCGACTCTCTGACAGCACATGTTCCCAGTGCCTATACATAACCACTCTGCAAGCAACATTAAGTCCTATGCAAATGAGGGGATACCTGCTACCTTTGGGGGTGATAATACTGTGTTCAGCAGACCCCACTCACAGACATGGACAGCGGAAGAATGGGCCAGTTGTCAGGGCATTGAGAGAACCCAATCCCCTGTTCAGCTACCAATTTCCTGTGTGACCTGTTCAAGGCACTTAATTTGTCTGTGCCTCATTTCCCAAATGGTACAATAGGGATGATTGTTATGGTTTGGATCAGAGATTCTCTCTAAACTCACAGGATGGGCTGATTGTACCACTGAACCCATCCACCTGCCCTCTGGGGCGCCCCACCACCCTGTCCTGCTGGGACAGAAGCTCCGTTCCTCCCCCTCCTCCCCAGCAGCAAAGGCACAGAGTTGGGTAACAGCCCCCCTTGGAGAACAACACAGACTCGTCAGCACCCAGCACAGCCCCGCATGGACCCACATCCCAAATCAATCTGTCTTACTTCTAAACATGCCTATTACAAGATCAAGATCAAGATCAAGAATACATATTCCTGTTCATCCAGAAATATAATTTATGCCATCATGTGCCTAAAGTGTCCATCTGCTATGTTCATTGGACAAACTTCTCAGACACTTCGCCAAAGAATCAATGCACACAAAACAGACATAAGACTTTCTCACAAAGAGAAAGCTGTTGCTTGCCATTTCAGCCAGACTGACCATTCCCTCAATGACCTTAAAACATGCATATTGCTTCAAAGAGACGCTTCAGAATTGTCATTCATGCTTAAATTTAGCTGTCTACACTGGCCGCTTGAATTTCCACAAGAACACTGATTTCCTAATGTCTGGAATCAGTGCTTCTTGCGGAAATGCTATGCTGCTACAGTGTAGACAACGTGGTATTGTTTTGCGCAAAAAAGCCCCGATGGCGAAAATGGCGATCGGGGCTTTCTTGCGCAAAACCGCGTCTAGACTGGCCACGGACGCTTTTCCGCAAAAAGTGCTTTTGCAGAAAAGCATCCTGCCAATCTAGACGTGCTTTTCCGAAAATGCTTTTAACGAAAAGCGTCCTGCCAATCTAGACGCTCTGTTCCGAAAATACTTTTAACAGAAAACTTTTCCGTTAAAAGCATTTGCAGAAAATCATACCAGTCTAGAGGTCGCCAGAGAAAGCTCATAGAGTTCGCCCCCCCCTTTATCACTGAGACACACAGCTGTGGCTCCCCCCAACAATTATTTAGACTGGGCTGAGGGACCAGCCGGGGGGCGGGGTCAGAGGGAAGGCGGGAGAGGCACCGGGAGGGAGGGAGGAAAGAAAGAGGGGCCAGGCGGGGGGCGGGGCCAGAGGGAAGCCGGGCTGAGCGACCAAGCGTGGGGCGGAGCTGCGGGAAGGTAGAAAGAGGGACCGGGCTGAGAGGCTGGGCGGGGCCAGAGGGAAGGCGGGAGGAGGGACCAGGCTGAGAGGCTGGGCGGGGCCAGAGGGAAGGCGGGAGGAGGGACCAGGCTGAGAGGCTGGGCGGGGCCAGAGGGAAGGCGGGAGGAGGGACCAGGCTGAGAGGCTGGGCGGGGCCAGAGGGAAGGCGGGAGGAGGGACCAGGCTGAGAGGCTGGGCGGGGCCAGAGGGAAGGCGGGAGGAGGGACCAGGCTGAGAGGCTGGGCGGGGCCAGAGGGAAGGCGGGAGGAGGGACCAGGCTGAGAGGCTGGGCGGGGCCAGAGGGAAGGCGGGAGGAGGGACCAGGCTGAGGCAGGGGGCGGAGCTGCGGGAAGGGGGGAGGAGGG